GTCAGGACAACTTCCAGGCAGTCCCGCTCAGCCCACCCCCGACCTATCGTTCCAATTCTCAGGCGCCGTCAGTTACCAGCGGTTCGGACAGATTCATCGCTGGTACCGCCAGTCCGAGCCCTTATGAGTACAATCGGGGCCCTCCGCTACAAACCGGCCCTCAATACCCCTATGCTCCAAACAACGCCATGAACAGCCGATACGAACCACCACAGAATGATTACAATTCGCATAGAATCAGTATGCCGAAACCTTACAATCCTGTGCCTTCCCCGCCAATGCAAGCGCCATACCCAGAATCCACTGCGTTGCCATATGATGCCCGTCCGCCAAGTTTCTTGCAGGTGGGAAGAAAAGCTGTCCGTGGAAGTACGAGAGAGGTGTAAGGATGGGATTGATTCTTAATTGATCTGTTTCCCTTGGGTCTAGATGACTACTGGGCTGTTGGGCGGCACACGCGTCGAATTTCGACATCCTCGGGCCCATTTACCCAAGATTCTGTTGGCAACGGGTTTTGCTGAGATCAAGCACATGGTGCTGTCTGGACACCAGCCTTTATCACTAACATACACTCGAATGAGTTGCCAAAGTGTATTTGGGCGGCCGATCACAGTGAGATGTGGTCAACAAGCTGTTGGATTTGAGCTTGAAATCGCAACAAGCGCGGAGATATCGCACAAAACCAAGGTGGGCCGCGGGCCCTGGGCCGAAATGTCCTCCATCAACGCAAGGTTGACTGATGTCTCCAAACCTGATGACCAGGAGCTCTAAACAGCAAAACAATCAACAGCTTTTCACGACCTCAAAAACCCCCCACAAAAAAGAATGGAGCAAAGATCAAGAGTGCTCCCTAGACGTTGGGCACCATACCCTACATAATCTGTATTTCTACGATTGACGGGCGGTTCTTCAAGTATCTCACGCGCCTCCCCAGCCTCCATTCGTGGGCGCGGGCGCGGGCGCGGGCGTGGGCCTTGTATTATATTTCTATTATCTCAGCAATGATTTTTACAGGTTCAATAACAATTCCAACATCAACGGCAACCGCCCTGGGGCCGCGATTCAGTATCTTGCTCTACGTGCGGTCCTCGTAACATTGACATAATGGACACCTATCTACCTACTCGGTACCTCGTACAGATAGACGTTTTCAATTGCGCCTTCACCTCTGCAGATACACTCAATTATTTGGGCCCTACTGTATATCTTACGGGTTATCCGAGAAGGACTAAGCCAGATATGCCCAAGCGTAGCTTTTAATAATGGTCAATAGGCGTTAAGCGTCAGTCGACCGATTACGCTGATTTACATGACAATACGAATGCTGAAACTCTAAAAACGGCACGCAATTATCTCACTGACTAATCGGAGGAGAGAGTAGTTTAAAAACCCCAAGGCCTCGAGTTTACCAGCTTTCTATTAAATTATGCTCATCGCTGCCAAAGCTGCTAGGCAGAGATGTAGGAAATCATTTCGATGCTGCAGTCTGCAGCGAGATCACAGAGCCATTACAATGACTCTAAAATCGTTTCTCTTCCACTGCCGATAACAGTGAGTAAGATTCACTGGTCAGATATAGAGGCTGTCCATCAAGCCAGTCCCGCGGTATGTCATATCTCTTGGAGATGTCAAGGTAGCTGCCGGTTTTCCACATCTGCGTCGGCGGAAATCCGTCTTGTGTCCCTTCTGTAGAGTGCAGTAGCATCTGAGCTCGTGCGCAACCTCTCGGAGTCGGCGCTATGGGCAAGGCAGATGAAATTTCGAGGGGCGCGGTCGTTATCTAAATGCTAGATTCAGCTTCACAGCATGCACTTCGGTTGGAGAGGAAAAGGCTCACTACCAAACAGCTGTAGGTGCCAGTGAGCCCTCGCCCAACGACAACCACAGGATGGCGCACCACGTTCTGCGAAATGCCACGGTCGATGCAACCTTGCTTGTTGCGGACAGTGCATACGCGTCCCCACATGTCTCTGTCACTACAAGGTATTGTTGTCAAGTATTGTTCATGCATTACTTCGAATTCGTAGACATGAAAGAGGTCAGTACGTGTTCATGGAGGCGTAGGAGGGGAACCCTTGTCCTCAGGCAGACATTGAAGGGAAGGGACAGATTCAGATCGAATTAGGAAGGTCACCCGAAAACAGATCTCTTGCTGCCGTTACGGAGCCTACGCCCCACGCTCCCGGACGGGAATGCGGAGACACATCAGTACCGTATGGCAATGTAAGATGCAGCACGTGATCTGGGAGCGCCTCTGCTTATTGGCGGCAAGAACAGCCCTCACTTTTCTAGATACAGACTAGTGGCTAGACATAGCGGGTCTGATATGGTCACGAAATAATTTGTGTGTCTGCGGAACCCGAAGCCGCAGTTGAAAACGAATCTGCGAGTGTACCTTGGGCTCTGCATGTACTGAATGAAAAATGAGAAGAAAACTCAAATATTTTGAACACATTGCATTGCATTGCATAGCTCCTGTACGAGGTACGAGGTACGTACACATGTATATCCATGTATGTAGCTACTCCCTAGCCACTACCTAGCGATGCCCAAGTACAAAGTATATCGTCGACTCACTGGGAGGCCTCCCCCCAATGTAAGAATCAAAATCATCTACTCGAAGTGAAACTGAAAATAAAAAGGACAAAGGAAAAGCGGGAAAGAGAAAAGAAAGAGAAAAAAACCACACACAAAAGGACAAGGAGGAAGTGTGATCTTTTCCGTCGTAATGTTTCCCTCACTGGCCTTTACTGGCACTCTCTGGCAGGGTTGTCATGTGGTGTGTTTACACCGACCGGCGGTGTCACAGTCACCGTCACCGTCACCCTCGTCTTCCCTCGCACTTCGCATTACTCGTACGCGTGGAGCGTGTCACAATTCGTCCTTCGCCGGTTTCTGTTCGCTCTGATTTCCTGCGGAGTTCGTGTCCGCGCCCGGAATGTCTCTCACCACCACGGGCAACCCCTTGAGCGCGGGGTGCCCTGCGAATCCATCGACGAGCCGCAGTGCCGACGCCTCGCGGAGGAAAACCACACCCAGAAAAACCTCCGGCTCCCAGGGAACACCCGCTCGCTCGTGGATGGAAGGAAGATCGAAGACGTTGAACGCAACATCCGCAAACTGGTTCAGCACATCCTTGGGTCCGGCGAGCAAGTTCAGCGAAATTTTCGCGTGTGGTGTAACGTGGAAGGCGGGTGTGCCTAGGGCAGCAGCGCGTTGGTCTTCCTTTGCTATTGGGCTGAGTCTGGACGAAGTAGATGACAGGCCCAAAGCCGACAACATGCCAGATGAGATGTAGTTCTCGGTCAACGCCAGGTCAATGTCTGCGAGGAGAGTGACGGGCTCTTTGGCGTTGTTCTCCACAATTATTGGAAGCGTATCTTGATCCTGACCGGCGAGCTCGGCGGAATGAAACTGAAGCGTTGGTTCCTTGTTGGCAGCTTTGGGGCTCGATGCTGCGGTATCGGTAGGTTTGACAGCGTCGACAGCACCAGAGACAGCATCCGCAAAGATTGTCGTTATAGGAGAGTCGCTTTGATGGACGCCCGGTGAACAATTCCGACCTTCACAGCGACTTCCAGGATGCAGATGGGCTGGCAAATGATTCCATCTTTGACCCGTGGGCACAGCGCAGCCTCGACCAACGCAGCCTATCGGCCACCAATGCCTGAATCGCTCAAAACCTCTGCAGAAACCATCGGGACAGCCGGCAGAACAGCAAGATTCTGTGGCAACCGCAGGCGAAGCAGTCGCAGTGCGAGCTGCATCAGGAGGAGGAGTCGTGTCAAAGGGATAAATGCCATTGCATAATCCCAAGGCACAGGTTGGATTACAACAGCCTGAAGCCGACTTTGGATCAAATGTCCTGTCTTCGTCTCGGCTAAAGGAGCTGAAGATCGATTTCACGCTGGCTGTGATGGTAGGGTCGGGTTCTTGCGTCTTGGTAAGCCCAATATTCTTCTGTTTTTGCTCAATCGCAACGGTAGGCCATGACAGCAGCACAGCAAGGAGAGAAACAAACACTGGAGAAAGCATCTTGCTAACAGCTATGAGGTGGCAGAGTAAATGGTTTGGTCGATAGTGTTTGGATCAGGCCAAAGGTTCAAGGATCTGCGAGACATTTATACTTGGTGTGAACGCAATGACCCTTGATGTCAATGCATGGATGGAAATAGATTTCACCGCTTCAAAGGTTCCTGGTAGCGTAAACTGAACCAACAGGGACGTGATACAGTTTTGGCCGCCTTACGAAACTCCTCATGGGTTGTCCAGACAAGCACAAAGTGCTTAGTTTGGCGAGTTTTCGGTCAATACCGAACACACCGGGGCGCAATGTCAAACGGCAAAAGACACAGCCATGAAAAGGCTTAGTCGATGAAGCAACGGCGACAAGAGATCCCCGGCTCAGACGTCATTGGTTGATTGAGTATATCCTGGTGAACTTTATTTAGGATGGCCATGTGGTACGTCGACTTGTCTGGTTGATGCAGAGGAGCTGAACGCTTTCACATGCAAGTTCAAGACAACAGGGACATCCCCTGATGAGGCTGCTGACTTGCAGTGAACAGCGATAGTTTTGTGCCTTGCGGTGCCAGCTGAACATTAGGCAACAAAAAGCACTGAAAGCTCAACCATTGATTGTGAAATCTGATATCTCATTGGTTAATCCCCTGAATCGTCCAGGGCGCCTGAACAGGCCGGTAACGTTGATCCTCAACAGAAGCGCAAGACTGTTCAACCACTGGGGTAACGAAGGGGAAACCCCATGCCGTAGTTCACGCAGGCCAACGTTATCCACCGAAAGTTCCGCAACCCTGGCTCATCTATGTGCTGCGTACGCGTTGATTTAGGACTAGATCAGTTGTGGACGGCTCGCTTGCGTAGTGTTCTCAGAGGAATGGCAGAGTTCGATACGCGCTATAGGATGAGTTGCCTTTTGCTCGATACCTTGACAGCTGGGCTGTGCCCTCACCTATTGTTGGCTCTTTCTCCGATTGGTGTCATAGCATGACACCGAACTCGAAGCCCTGTTGTGCGCTCCCATCGACAAGAATGCGCCTCGTCTCTTGCTTGAGAAGCTGATTCACGTCCTCCCTCGAAGTGGTTCCGCCGGTTGATGCTTCCATTCGCTTGTCTCCAAAGGCAGCCTGAGACAACCCAAGCAAGCTCAGTTTCGCTGCGATACTGCGAACGTTACCGCGGGATGCCCAGTATGCTTGGAAGGCCAGTATCAGCCCAAGCAAGGGATAGCAGAAACTCCATGCCACCAGTATCGCTAGTGGTGGAATGGGCACTTTGGAAAGCAGCATATGTTCACGCTGTTGTTGGCCAAGGGCAAGACGGCCTGTAGTGTATCCGCCAATGTTTGCTAGGACCTTTGTAGAGTATAGACTTCCAAATTTCCGGAGAAAAGACTCAGTCGTGTCTCCAGCCAATGCAGACTGCGTGAGGAAATCTTGTAGAGCAGGATCACCACCACTGATAGTCGCGTACAGTAGGTTTCCGTGGAAAATTTCCAGGATGCTGCCATTGCCGGTCGGCACCGCATGGATATTCTGCAGAGCTCCGTCAACCCAGGTATACGAGATATCGTATGACGCCACGGCACAATTGAGAATGAAATCCAGGACGCCATCAGAGATAAAAGTGGCGTCTGTGTTGTTTGCCATCATTTCATTGCCAGACACAAATTGTCCACTTGTAGTTGAAATTCGCGCGGCGATGCCGATATAGAACGGATTCACCAGGTCAGAGTTGGGATATGGCGAAATGCTCAAGTCGAAGGCGCCCGAGTCATTGTAGCCAACAGTGTTGTAGACGTTTCTCATTCCTGAATCGTTGAAAAACGAGTACATTAGGTTGGCAGCCCCTTTGTACATCAAGAATGAACGATACGGATCCGGAGGGCGTAGATTATTGAGGTTTGTGCTCACGATTGGTGGCATCCCGATAGTACCGTGAAACATATCGGTGCAGCTGAAGTTGGTGTAGTAATCATCCCAAAGTACCATGCCGCAGCTGGATGGGTTGACAAAGCGACAGGTTGTCGATATCCCAATAGTCGATGCTTCGTAATCAGTATTGGGAACCGTCGTCTGTTGCTGGGGAATGAGGTATGCTAGCTCGGCCCCTGGGATGTCATCCGTCGCCGTGATTCGAATCTCTGAAAGTTGCGAAGTGTTGTGGAAGAGCCGATTCGTTTCTGTAGCTTCAAAGTTTGCATTCGGGTCGACTACTCCGGAGTCAGTCGTGTCGGAACAAGGCAGTCCCACAAAAGTTCGGTTGAAGGTCAAGCAGAACTCAGAGAGACCGCGACCAAATTCCTGGGTTGGTTCTGGCGGGATCAAGATCTGATCAACCTCAACAGTCGACGTTGTGTAATGCAGGACGGTATCCGCTATGAACACCCCGACAGCCAACAGCAAACTCAGGAGCATCATCGAGGCGGCACAGTGTAAAACCGGGGGGATGCTGGGTCTTCGCCGGCGGACAAGGTACCAGAGATACGACCGAAATTGCTGTGCAGACGCGACCAAGATGCCGATAAGCAAACTCATTTGAAATGGTGTTGGTAGGTCCAGATATTTTGCTTCTCTGGAGGCATCGCGCAATTTCCGAGACACGGTAAGCGCAAACACTGACAAGATGAACGAACCCAGCAGAGGTGCCAGCGTAGACAGAAAACTGGCTACGAAAACCAATCGAGCTAGAGAAGTCAGTGTTGGACAACAGCGTTGTCAATGCCCGCGAACTCACTTGCAGAAAAGTTGACCAGAACAAATCCAGGCTCATGTAGTGTCGCTTCCGTAGGCTTGAATAGATTTGGGACAGGAACGACTCGGTACATATAAACCAGAGCAAGCAAAGTACCGGCTAAAAGAGCGATAGGGATGCAAATGACTGCTGCGGGGAGTAAAATTGTTTGGACGAGGTTTTCATTTGGTAGTAACTCTGGATCGAAGCGACACTCTTCTTCGGGTGTGTCATATTGTCGTCGTATGAAGGACTGTCTGATATCGTTCTGCTCAAGAGGTATCTCGTTTTGAAAGTCTAGAGACTGACTCCGAGTCCTCTCCCCGGTTATCTCCTCTTGTGAAGGGATATGTAAGCTGTGTCTATTCGTGAGAAAGGTAGCGACTCGCTCCGAGAAGGAAACGAGATTCTTGGGACGTCTATTATCGCTCTCCATGGTTTACCATTTCAAGGCGAACAAGACAATACAAAATGAGGGATGTGACCGAGACGGATGACATATGAAGTCGAGCACGAAAACAGATATCTTACCTGGTTCACAGTCAAATTTAGCTGATCTATACCTTTGAAGTCACTCTTCATCTGGAGTGCAAAAGCATATCTTGATGGCGCAAGGCAAGGTGCAGCCGATAACGTGGCGCTGAACGTCAGCCTCACACGGGCTGAAGGGCACGGAGTATCTTCACTGGTTGGACTTGGGACGCCCTGTGTATAGCTGTGGAACATTGATATTGAGCCAGTGGCTCTCAGCTGCGATGGCACGATGGGTCAGGCAGAAGAGCCACAACCTGCATATACGACCCGCTGCTCCAATGACGAACGAGTGATGAGCAGAACTTTTGGATCGTGATACTGTTTAACCCCCCAGCTCCAGGGTCTTTTGGTGGCCCTATCTTTCTGCACGAGCCAGTTGGAGGATTGGCATCTTTTCCAGCGTCAAATCCACCAGCATGAACAAGGGTTGACGTGAGGGGCTGTTGCCGACCGGAGAAAGCGACAGTGCTGACTGGCTTCCTGGTCTCCTGGCCTCCTGGCCTCGGGCTTGCTTTTGCCATCTCGTCAACCCGAGTACGCGGAGGGAAATTCTGGGTTGGCAACAGTAGTGCAGCAGAGGATGAGTCGAAACCGAGTTCGGACGCTTCGTGCAGTTTGAAGTTGGGAGGAGAAATAGTGAGACGCAGACAGTCAAGTTCCGGAGCAGAGCACGTGACGGGCACCTAACGAGACGCAGGCGCCATTCAAGACGCGCAGCTTCAGCGTCCAAACCACCCAAGCAGCATCACCTCAGTCTCTCAATCATCATCCCTCTTCTGCCTTACTCCAGCTCCCCGTTTCTTTCTTTCTCGCTTCTGTACCAACACACACTTCTTCGTCTCTTTGTATTTTGTGAGAACTTCTTTCCAACTTGGACCCCAGAGCAATCAAACACTTTCCACCCTCTGTAACCATGGACACACTCGTTGCCCAATACACTCAGTCTCCCTTCACCAACGAAGGCTTCACATCAGAAGACCATAATGACTATTGCGAAACGCTACCTCCTCTTTCCCTTAAATTCGCCCTGCCGCCCGTACCACGTCCTTCTGCCTTTCTGCGCGCAGCGACCGATGATTACTTGAATCCGAATTGCCCGATCAAGATTGCCCACGGCACCACCACCTTAGCTTTCCGATTCAAAGGAGGAATCATCGTCGCAACGGACTCAAGAGCCACCGCCGGAAACTGGATTGCTTCGCAAACAGTCAAGAAGGTCATTGAGATTAATCCGATGTTGCTGGGTACTATGGCCGGTGGAGCTGCGGTAGGTTGACTTCTGCATTTGTCTTGGGACGTCTATTAACACCATTAGGACTGCCAATACTGGCTTGCTTACCTCGGTGTCCAATGTCGCTTACACGAACTTCACCATAAGCGCCGCATCTCCGTCGCCGCAGCCTCCAAGATTCTAGCAAACCTAGTGTATTCTTACAAAGGAATGGGATTGTCTATGGGAACTATGATTACGGGAGTGACACCACAAGAGGGGCCTGCGCTCTACTATATTGACTCGGATGGCACGCGGTTGTCGGGCAATCTCTTCTGTGTTGGATCAGGTCAAACTTTCGCTTATGGTGTTCTGGATGCTCTCTACAAATACGACCTGGAAGATGATGAGGCTTTGGAGCTGGGCAGAAGGAGTATTTTGGCGGCTACCCACCGAGATGCCTATTCAGGTGGTTACATCAACCTGTACCACGTCAAGGAGGATGGTTGGGTCAAGCATGGTTTCTCCGACACGAACCCTATTTTCTGGGAGACTAAACTGCAGAAGGGCGAGTTTTCCAACGTCACCAGCGAGTTGATCTGAGGAGATGTTGTGAAGTGAAAGGAGGATCTTGCACGTTAGATGCCGGGCGTTGGACAGGGGCAGAAGGGACTGTATCAACATGCTGAATCAGTGTGTACTAGAAGGCTTTCCAAAGGCTTTTTGCCCAGTGTATTTTAAATGCTGGGAGCCAGAACGAGGCGATTATGCAACGCTGAATACCTCCAGTCGGCTTGTCGCTAGTATCGTCAACCTGGATTTTTCCGTGTGGCTTTCACGCGAAAGCTCGTGTCCCTAACCGCACTGACACTGTGAGGCCGAAACTGCGGAAGCTGATGGCGACGTGTAGAGGGCCCAAGGCGACTTGTTATGCTCTAATTATTAAGTGATAGAACTCTTAGAGAGCCCGTCTCTTCTGCCGTGTTTAATGGTTACCCATCTAGTGGCCTTCGTGCCTACTCCTTGCCCATGGCCTTAAGCACGATGTTTAAGCGGCGCTGTTCGTCCGTGTTCAACAACCACTGCAATTCCTCCCTGTGTGCCTTGTCCAGCCCCTCGGCCATTCGCTCCGCTGTCATAAAGTCGTGGTCCGCATAGTCAAACCCCGGAACCACCGTCTCGCTAATTAACAGGCCTTGCTCACTTTCGTCACCTCCCTCTTTGTCGGGGAGCAGAAAACTCGCCTTGAACTTGCCACCCTCGACGATCCACTGGACTCTTTCTCCCTTTTCAATGTCCTTCCCAACTACGAAGGTCTCGATGGGGACTTCCTGCCCACTGGCAGAATCCCTCTGGTCAAAATGTAAAATGACATAGCGTCCTCGGCCCCAGTGTAGGGTGTGTACTGTCCGACCCCTGTTACGATGGAACCGGCCCACGGGGCTCTTCGGGCTCAAGAAATAGTAGATGGTCGTCGATGCGTGCCTCGTCTCAGATGTGTCCTTGGAAGTGGCGTTTGTCAACTGTGGAAGGTTCTTGAATGGGTTGGGCACAAGGAGCGGGTCGCGGTCTGTTTCGCAGAAGTAGCCACCCTCAATGTGGGATTGGAGCTGAAGAGTGGTGATGGTGCGTGACATAGACTGAGGTTCGGTGGCTGGTGGTGACGAAAGGAGGGTGCGGGCATAGCGTGTATCGTCCGCTAGAGTTATGGACATTGTTTTCTTGGCCCTTTGAGAATTCCCGGCTAGGATACGAAATGGTCGATGGGATAATTCGGAATTTGTTGCACTCGCGAGAGCCGGTGTGGATGTTCGACGCCCTTTTTGATATCCCTCTAGTTCTCACAAAAGAACCAATACCTGATCAAGTTGTGCCTGTAATATTTCGAAAAGGACCCTCGATCGGTTTGCGGAGGAATTGAGGATATAGTATGTGTCGTAATAGACAGACAATTGAGTGAATCTTATGCTTATGCAAGCCCAGTCGCCGGATTTGGTGGGATGTCTTGGTGCCGTGCATATAAAGCTTGGATGGCCTGAGTGGTCAGATCCACCCCGATACATGTGGGTGATCCGATTGGGATTCAAAGGAGTGGGACCATCAATGCTGCCAGACATCCAAACTAGCCCCCAGCAACGTGTGTTTTGTAGCATTCTACCTCGCTCGTATGTCAACTCCCCGGCATGGCTGAGCGTCTCCATATCACTACCGCCGCTGCAGCAGCGCATACCACTACCCCCAGAGCTAGCCCATACCTCATCAACTGCCCATCATCATCTTCTTGTAGTGGCCGTGGGTATGCCGTCACTGGCTCCAAACCAGCTTCAGAAATGACCACGAACAGCTCTTGAATTGAAGGCCAAGTAACACTGGTAGATATGGGAGGTCCCTGTGGCATGCGCTGGACTTGAGCAACATACTCATCTGGCTGGTTTTCGGATCTTTGGGTGGTTCGGTCGAGGTCGGCTTTCAGAGCGACGTACACTGACGGCAGATCTTCCAGGTGGGGGTACGTCTTCCGGATGTTTGGAATGTATGCAAACGAGTCTGGATCGGACGAGTCGTAGGCGTACACAATTACGTCGCACTGGTCCAGAAGTTTGCTCTTGTTCTCCAGAACCGCTGCCTCGGATTCTCCCAATTCCTTCAGTATGAGGTAACATTGCCTTCCACCAGGCAGTTCCACGGTGTTGACGGCCACGCGAGGCTGAATAGTGGGATGATAGAGGTTGTTGAATGGCTGGGCCAAGAATGCGTCCAGCAAAGCAGACTTACCAGACTGAGGGGCACCCAGAACGTGAGCGAGAAGGACATTCCGGCCTACTCGACCTGGTTTCCGCCTTCGCTTGCGGGGTTTCGTCAACTTTAAAGCAGCCGTTGTGCTCGTATTAGAACGATCTGTTGATTCGAAGCCCAGATATGCGAGGTATTCCAATGTGGTCTTTGGAGAGGTAAATGTGGTCATGGACCACTGTGCAAGCCAGCCTTGTAGAGTGACATGGCCAGCATCATTCCTCATTGTGCATGAAGGGAAGTTGTTGTCGACCCATATTTGTGGAATCCCAGGCGTTGGAGCAAACAAAGAGGCCAGCTCTTCATCTCTCAGACCACCATCATTGTCTCGATCGGAAGTCAGGAAGAGATCGACCAAGAAGCGATAACCAGCCGGAGACAGTTCGGCAGAAGCATATTCAGGCACTTCGAACTTGGGATGCAAAAATGACTCTTCTAGAGACAGGCTATCAGTGTACTGAAACGTCCGCAGTATGACCCAGATGGTCTCATGACGTCCTTTTTCAGCGTAGAGTTTGTTGAGGAGAAGGAAACCCTGAGAGGTGATGCCTCTCGTGGAAGCGGCTCCTGGAATATGGTTGTCGATGGTTTCTTTGATATGCTGCAGATCCTCAGAGCTCAACCCCTTGTCAAAGCATTTGACCTGAAAATCTTCCATCTCTTTATCGTTCAGAAGCCCATCCTTGTCCTTGTCGCAGAGGTAGAATATGCGAAGCAACGCAGCTACGGCGGCAGGTTTGAGGACCGATTCTTTTGCATCAAACAGAGGAGCGATCGGATGGGTGACAGCTTTCTGGCAGAGAAAGAATGCTTCATTGACATTGAAGTGATCACGGGCGCTAGTTCGTATACATGAATCAATCTCTTTAAACTCTGACATGACCGGCAACATTTCCTCC